GGGATTGACTGTATAGCCAATACATCTTTAAGCGGCTTTGGAGTTCCCCGATGAAATAATTTATAGAGAATAGAATCTCCACTCTCTCCCCTTAATCAAATCTGTTCTTCATTTAGCTGTGCGGGTTGAAACGCGTCTCGCGCCGATCTTCCTCCTATATCGCGTTAATTTGCGCGCGGCGGATGCGGATCCGTGTATACCGTGCTTACACGAACCCGTACGACACCTGTGACGCCGCATACATCGCGCCCACGTAAATTATCCTCGGTAAGATTTACGACGCGTCTCGAGTACAACTCCTGTGCCTCGAAAATCCTCGGACGTGTCTTCCGTCCGTTATTAATGTCGAAATTAGGAGAAAAAAATCGCTCTAGTCGCTAGAACAGTCCCGGTCGAACAGAAATCTCTCCGACACGATATCAATCGTCCATTAACCGCGTCTGTCTTCCCGTCGATTCCACGTGTATTTTTCGACGCGTTATGTAAATCCCGGCGAACGGAGGATCGTTCCGTTGTCGTGTATTAATGAAGTTCCTTCTCGGGGACAGAGGAGGCGAAGAAAAGGGGATGGATGGGCCGGAAGAGCCGGAAGGACCGGTTATTTCGTTGATGACGTCTTTTGTGAATGGTAGCGGGACTCGGGGGACGACCGACCGAAACGTATACCGTCGCAATTTTTCAATCCGTAATTAGCATCGCGCCGCGTGCGATCAATTTCGCGTCTTGTTTCGTTTCGAAACCGTCGGTTCGCCGCGTTCGACTCATAATTACGACGCTTCTGTCAAAATTATTGGCAGCGGGCTATCAAAGAGGACGTTACGAAGCAGCTTTGATAAATTGTCACGAATAATATTTACCGTTTTCACGGGAGACTGACGCGATTGCCAGCTTTTTTACGGTTCTCTTTTTGATACTCGGTCTCGAGTCACGGTTCGACTCGTGTTCTTAACGAACTCACAGCGGTACGTGGCATCGCGCGTCAAGCTTTGAACGGCATATGGGTGAGCCGTAATTGTGATGAGGAGCTCGCAGGTGTACGCGACCCTTATATCGCTGTTCTCTTTGAGAGACCTTTTCATACCGCAGGCTACATTCTCTGCGCTCAATCGTTCGATACTTATTGTACTTACACTTTCTGATATGTTTTTTCACCTGGCTATTGTCGTACATTTCATCAGCTAAAATTTGAACCAATCGTTTTGATTCGTGTTAAGGATTTTCGTTTCACGTTCATTTCAAGACATTTCGCAGAGAAAGATGATGAAGAGGAGGAGGAGAAGAAGAAGAAGAAGAAGAAGCGGACCACAAGTTAGCCAGGTAGCACACGTAGCGAGGTCGGCAGATGCGCGGCACGGGTGTAAGAGGGGCCCATTACACACGAATGCGTGAGGTAAAGAGGTTTACTACACCTGTGGCCTGTGGGCTTGGCCAGCCGGGTCGTTAGCGTGCGCGACGAGGAGGCCGATACACAGAAAATTCACTGGTGAAAGGAGGAGAGGCACAGAGGGATGGGGGGACCTTCCAGGTTGACAATCCGGGGTCACAGTACGCCGCGCCGCCGTCGGCCCGATTGGTCGCCGGGAAATTCATAATATATTTTTCGCAGACGAGACATTGAGCGAGTCGAGGCTCCTTTCGAGCGTTTCGCGTCAGACATTTACGAGCGTTTGACCCTAACCGAGGGTACGGGAGGCGGAAGACACCGGAGAAAAGGGGAAACTTTGTTGCGGTCACGCTAATTGGCGTTGTGTCGTCGAACGATCCTACAATGAATCCAACATTCAAAAGTTGGTATAGGCATTTTGGACGATGAACCACTGATTAACATTTTCAAACGAGATTTCACTAATAAATGCAATTTCGTTTTGAGCCTGATGA